TACGTGGGACATACAGTGCTTTGTAAGTATTGGCTCATTTAAACTCCACAACCATAACTTCACTCACTGTGTCCCATTTCACTGGCAAGGCTACTAAAACATAGTAAAGAGGAGACTTGACTAATGAGCACCAGGTTAGTGGAGTCAGATGTCCATCTAAATTGTCAGCACATGGGCAAGGAGACTCCAATGTGAGAAAAAAAAAAGTGGAAGCTCCAAACTACTTACTATTATACAGAAGTTAATTTTTCAAACATTTTCTGAAGGCTTACCATGAAAGCCTCTTTCACATAAACACACACACACACACACACACACACACACACACACACACACACACACACTAGCCTGTTTCTCAGGTCAGTGGTCAGAAACTCGCTGAATGAAATCTCTGGCAGCTATAAATCAGATTACAGCAGCTTCTATGGTGTGGAAAACAGTGTGAGATTATCAAAGCAGTGACACCCGTAATTCCTGGGATCACAAACATTTGTGCTAGACAGGACGTAGAATGCATGTCCTGCCTGTGATGTGCATATGCACAGAACTATCCGTGCCCAGCTTCTACCCACAAAGGACCACTGGCACGCATGTCCATAGCTAGGATATTGGTGATTCTAAATATTACTCTGGCTTTTTTCAAAGTTATAAGCTTAATGATTATGAATGCTCTATATAGGTAGGGGAGAAAAATAACTTTTTTTTCCTGAATGAAACTGATCAATTTAAAAACTCACTTCAGAATCAAATTCTTATTTGAGGCTACAGATGATTTTATTGTAAAGCAATCACAGAACTAAGTCTACTACAGAATAGAAAGGTATTTGTTAATATTTTTTATTTCCTTTCTACCCAACAGAACTCAAGGATTTTATCTATGGATTGAAATAGCTCAGGAGTCAGAAGTCATTGCACTTGCATCCTGAATTCCGTTACTGAGCAGCTGTGTGACTCTTTGCAAGCCCTTTAAGCTTTCAGTCTTTGTAATATGCAGTTAGTACATTTGCCATGTAGAGATGTAAGTCATAGGATGTGTGTGTGTGTGTGTGTGTGTGTGTGTGTGTGTGAAAGAGTTTGGACAAAAACATCTTTAAATTATGTGAGAAGCATTTTTCTTTTTATGCTGTGCCTGTCTGCACCACAGCCCCACACAGCAGTTATCATCGATAAGGACATTCTGACAGTCACCAAACCTAAACATTTCCATACTGGTACCCTGAATGTGGATGCTCTTTGGTTAACACAACAGAGAACAATTCTATATTTTGAGGGTGGGAAAAGAAAATGGTTCAGCCCCTGTGGTAAACAGTTAAAAAAATTAAATATAGAATTACCAAATGACCCCAGTTTCCCTAGGTAAAGACACTCAAGCCTGCAATCAAGTACTTGAACAAAAATGTGTTCATAGATTGAGAGGGGAAAAACTGGTAGAAAATGAGGGAGGGCTGACACTATTCAAAAAGAAATGTACTCATTACCTGGCTCATGTAACTGTAACCCCTTTGTTTATCACCCTTACAATAAATTTTTTTTTTGGGTCCAGTCATGGGGCCTGAACTCTGGGCCTGGGCGCTGTCCCTCAGCTCTTCAGCTCAAGGCTAGCACCCTACCACTTGAGCCACAGCGCCACTTCTGGCTTTTTTTCTTTTTGCTTATATGGTGCTGAGGAATTGAACCCAGGGCCTCAGGCATGCAAGGCAAGCGCTCTACCACTGAGCCACCTTCCCAGCCCCTAAAATAATTTTTTAAATCTATGCAATGTATGCATATTCATAGTAATGCTATTCACAAAAGCCCCAAAGTAGAAATAGACCAAATTTCCAGTGAATGAATAGACAGCATTCATGTGTGCGTGCACACTCATGCACGCACACGCGCGCGCGCACACACACACACACACACACACACACAGAGTGGACTATTATTCAGATATACAAAGAACATGAGCACATTTCTAGAACAGACTAAATGAAAGCTGGCCATAAAAGATTTGCATTATAGGATTCTATTGACATGAAAGAGAGTCAAGGTAGATTGGTGGTGAGCATGTAAATGTTCCTCCAAACAATTATGGCAGTATTTACATTATATGAAGCCAACCTCTATAAGCTTCATTTATAAAATAGGGAGCTATAGTGACCTAGAACATGCATGCACACACCTATACACACCCGTCAAAACATACACACACACACACACACACACACACACACACACACACACACAGAGCTTGGAAAACCACCTCTGATCTCACTAAACAATCAATAAACATCCAATCGCTCATGACCATGGAAGAAGCAGAGGTAAGCTCAGGACTGCTCCACTCTTCATTAGCATCTCTCCACAGAGCAATAAAACTGAGGCAGGAAATGGAGGGGAAGGTATGGGATGACCTCTGGGTAAAATGTCTGACATTTTCACTGAGGAGATGATAATGGGAAAGACAATAACGAATCATATGGAAAAAATATTGTAAAATCTGAATAATTGAATCTGGGTGAATTATTGCATTTACAAAAGAGTCAAAGGTTAAAATTTCAAACTTTTGAATCAGAATATAAATATGTAGTAGTTTGGTGCATATAAAATATGATCATAACAAATACAATAAAAGCTTTGACTACAAATTCACGTGTGGTGAATATGCATAATACTACATGGTTATATTTTGTTACTTTATTTACACATGTATCTTTCAAAAATTATACTTCTGATAATCATGGATAAATGTTCTAAATAGATTTTAATCCAACATTTATAAGATTATCAGTGTTCACTATCATAATCAGTGACAATGAAACAGTTGAAAGTGAAGCATTCTTCTGGGACCCATAGCTGGAGTAAAGCACTAATCTGTAGCATTTCTATACATGAACTTCAGCTACTAAGTATGTAGATAAAAGACTGAAATAAATACTCCCTAAAGAATGCAATATAAAGCCTAAATCTTTCCTCATATCCAATTTTAAGGTTTCAAAGTCACAGTGTTTACCCTGGAAACTCAGGTGACTTCCAATGTAACACTGGCTGCTACAAGGCCTACCTAGCCAGGTATCTCAATCTAGAACTAGGCTAGACTCTGACTGCAAGCTTTGTCAGACTGCACTTCACTTCTTACCCCAGCTTCCTTGGTATGTTTAAATTTAGTAATACCTGCGCATGTTTTAATTCATCACCAAAACAGAACTGCAACCTTGCCAATGAGTTCTATACTTGTCTATGTACTCTAATCCCTATCTATCCATCTGCTTTCTTTCTCCAAGGGAAAGTTCTCACTAAAAATAACACTAGGTGATTTTCAGAGCATCAAAAAGGGAAAGCTGAGAAAATGATCACTTAACCAATGACAATGAAACATAGCATAAGCTGGGGGCATCAGTGGCTAATACCTGTAATCCTAGTTACTCAAGAGGCTGAAATCTGAAAGCTCACAGTTCAAAGCCAACCCAGGCAGAAAAGATTCCATTTCCAACTAAGCGAAAAAAGCTGAGTTGGATGGGCATGGCTCAAGTGGTAGAGCCCCAGTCAAATGAGCAAATGAGCTAAAGCATGAAGTCCTGCATTCAATTCCCCACAAAAAGAAAGAAAAAAGAAAAGCAGCACGATGTTTTTGTAAAACCATTTAAGTATCAACATCAGCTACATTATATTAATTCCCATAGTAGTCAATCTCACAAAAATAATCTAAAACAGTGTAGAAAAAAAGTAAGAAATCCTCCAATCAACATGCACATAGATATTTTCACAATAAATACTAAAAATATAATGGTCTTAAATTACTTCTAAGGTGAAAATAAAAATCCCATTTCATCCCTGTGGGAATTATAAACTCTTTCACATATAAAAAAATAATTTTAGAAACTGGAGTACTATGCCTGATGACATGATTTAAATAAGCTACCTACATTTTTGAAGAGCATAGTAAGATTCAAAGTAATATATTATTAGCATTAGAAAACATAGCATGGATTGTACACAAGTTTAAGAAAGTTTAAGAAGGAAGACATGAAGCTGATCAGAACATCTAAAATTGAAGTTGTAACATTATTGTATGAATGAGAAATAGAATAGCCTTTAGGATTAGACAAAGTCTAGAACATAGTGTCAAGAAGTCAGTTGATGTAACTGACAGAATTCTCAATTTATACTGATGTAATTTCTTACAGAACAGTTAAAAATCCTAACCTATTCCACCCTATATAAGAAACAAAATGGTCATAGTCTTAAATATAAAATGTGAAATTTTTAAACTTTTAGGAGAAAATCATGATCTGAGGTTGGTCAAAAAATTCCCATACATGCCACCAAAAGCACAATCCATGAAAGACAAAATAATAAAGTTGAACTCACCAAAATTAAAAATTTAAATTGATGCCATGCTAATCATTATGAAGGTAAAGAATTACATTCATCTGATTATAAATTAGCACTATATTTAGCATTCGATCACAGCAACAAATACTTTATATGGCCTTCTATATAATCTAATCTAGACTGTATAAATCTGTCAAGAGTTTTTTTTAAAGGAGCTTTCTGTTTGTTCACTCAGGTACTGGAATTAAATTCAGGAACACAAGTTTGCAAGGTGGTGGTTCAACCACTGGAGCCTGGCCTCCAGCCGAATTTTGCATTGGTAAGTTTTGAACTAGGGTCTTACTTTATTTCCAGGCAAGCCTGGGCTGCAGTTCTCCCACTTCTGCTTCCCTGTGTCTCCAAGGATGATGAATACTCCTACACCCAGCCATTGTGCTTTCCCTTTAGTTGGTATAACAGGCATGTGGTACAGTGCCCACTTATTAGGTGAGATTGACTGCCTTCAACATTTATGCATAGGCTGGCCTCAGATGGGCAATCACCTGATCTTTGCCTCCCAAAGAGCTAGAATTACAGGCTTGAACCACTTCACCTGAAAGGAGCTTTCTCTTTAACTCACATAGAAGCAGGGGATCTGCCTAGATATGCATATTTTTACTTATGTGTACTTAATCATCAGTACTTACCAGCAGCTTCAAGGACCAGTTGTAACCTGGCTTTGGCCTGCTCTGCTGGTGGCTAAAAAAAAAAAAGAAAAGAAAAAAAAGAAGTCAACCATTAAAGATAAGTTAGAGATCATTTTTAGTAAATGTAGCTTTAAATTAATACATGGTTATTTATCAAAATTTGGAATGTTTTCTCACAAACAATATTAATCCTAACAAAAGTTCATCACATTCACCCTCAATGCCAAATCATACTCTTCATTCATGTGAAAGAATGAATGTAAAGAGTTCTTTATGCTATCCACCCTGTACCAAGCAGCAGTACCACAAATAACCTTAACCAACAAGGGGCAAACCTCACACTCAAAACCATCTTGAATGGTGCTATTTCTTAGTATATGGAAGCAGTAGAGGTTAAACATGGTAGTCACTTAAGTCTGGAACTCAGCCAAGGAAAATCCTAAAACAAAATATTTTTTCTGTCTTTTAAGTGAATCTTCAATAAGCAATCGTCAGGAAGACAGTCTACAATATAATCTACAGGCTGGCTTTCAGTTCTAACTGCCCTAACATTGCTTACTTAGTGAATGTTAATTCAATACTGACAGCAAAGTCTGAAAGTCTATACAGTACCGATTATCTGAACCTTTAGGAAGAAGTGTGTCAATCTTTATCATAGAAAACTGAGAGAGTTGGAAGAAGTTGAACAGAGGTATGATGAGATCAAATCTTTTGCGACATCGTTCCAGCATTACATCTGAGGATGAAGCATGAAAGCATTGTGACTGGACATCTCAAGAATGTTTCTGAAATATCTGATTAGCTTATCTGATAGCTTATTCATGTTGTAAACACTTTCTTCTGGGTTCCCAAGTTGATAATATTTTTTTCAAAAAGAATGAGGATCATTTGTATATTTAGCTGTGCTGCCATATTCATTTTTTCTGGGCTGTTGGATTATAATAGTTTTTAATAGAAGACTGAATATCTCTAGGCAGGAAATCTGTGAATCTTTTGTGTGCTTTCTTCTGCTGCTTCTAAAAAACTCAACCCTTCACTGTATAAATTCTTACCGTTAGTTTGAACCAAATGAAACTGCCACTTTCACAGTTAAAAAATTATTAAATGTCAGCACTCTATATAGTTTAATCTCAAGGTATGGTCATTTTCTCATTGGAATATTTTAAGCTTACAGTTCAACAAATAGGGAACAAAACATATGCAGAAAACAATAATGAATAAAGTAATATGAAATACTAGTTGTTTGTTACAATGATCAACTTTTAAAAAATAAAGGCTAGTTACTTGATGGAAAATTTAAGATTACCATGCTATATATTACTTAGTTTCTCGTTTGTAAGAGATAGTTTTGAAAGTATATAAATCAGTATATTTAACCTTATTATCATTGTAATTTTTATTTGTGAAAATAAGGTTTAATTTATCTCATTTTTTAATTCTTCAAGGAGAGATGCCAGGAGTATTAACAAAAGAAAGGGATCTACCCATGGTTTCCCTTATTTGCAATATCTAGTATATGTATGAGTCAAGCAGAAAAGGTCAGATAAGATGATGTTAGGAAAATGAACCCTAAGATACGTATTTAATTTTTTTCTTTCATGCATTTGTTTCTAGCGCATTTATAAGATTATTTCTTTGTTGCTTTGTATGTCCCTCCCCCACAGTATAACCCCTGCTTTCACTGTATTTGATGTCAGTATAATTTGTGGAGGGGAAGGGGAAAAACAAGTCGTTTAAATAAGGATACAGGTGGACCCCTTGCAACAATGAAAAGTACAAGTTGTCATGTCGAAAACGAACTTTACAACTTTGGTTGGGGGAGGAATGAGGGGGGGGGAGGCTGGGAAGGGGAAACAAAGGAGGAGGCTATAATACTTGATAAGAAATGTACTCATTATCTTGCCCATGTAATTGTAACCCCTCTGTACAGTATTTTCACAATAAAAAAATAAAAAATAAAGGGATCTACATAAGGTAGAAAGAAAGCTCAAGAGATACAGTGTATTTGTTTACCTATTTATTTTGTTAGTCATGTGGCTTGAACTCTGGGCCTGGACACTGTCCCTCAGCTCTTCAGCTCAAGGTAAGCACCTTACCTCTTGAGCCACAGCACCACTTCTGGTTTCCTGGTGGTTTATTGGAGATAAGAGTATCACGGACTTTCCTGCCTGGGCTAGCTTTGAACTATGATCCTCGGATCTCAGCCTCCTGAGTAGCTAGGATTATAGCATGAGCCACTGGTGCCCAGCCAATGTATTATATGTGTGTATCTATCTATATCTATATCTATCTATATCTATGGATAGAGATAGATCTATATATATTTATAGATCTATCTCTATTTATAGATAGAGAGATCTATCTCTATTGATAATGGAATCATATAACTATACCTGATGTGAGGAGAAGGGCTGAGAGAGCTCCAGTTAGTGGTCATGGACTTGGGTTTACTATGTCTATAGATAGAGATAGATAGACTTATCAGTGTGTATATCTATCTATATCTATGTAGATATGTATGTATATCTATATTTGTATACATTGTTCTATACATTAAAATTCTTAAAGAAATGTAATTATACAGATCAAGTATCTTTTTGAATGATGATTTTTTTAATTGACTAACAATGGCCATGGATTTGGACTTTTCTTTTCTTTTTTTTTTTTTTTTGGTGCGTTGTGGTGCTTAAACTCTGGGCTTGGGCACTGTCCCTGTGCTCTTCAGCTCAAGGCGAGTGCTCTACCGCTTAAGCCAATATGCCACTTGTGGTTTTCTAGTGGTTTTTATTGGAGATAAGAGTCTCACGGACTTTCCTGGCTTTGAACCGTGATCCTCAGTCTCAGCCTCCTGAGTAGCTAGGATTACAGGAGTGAACCACCAGCACCGGTGCATTTGGACTTTTCTTAAGCAGAGATAATTAATTAGGATAAATTGTATTTTTGTGATTACTACCAACATCAACTGCAACACCATTACATGACTATTATCTTTTCCCTTACTAGGTAAGCTGATTCCTAATCTTGTGAGGCAAAGGACTAGTACATTTATCTACTGAAAATATCTTTTGTAATGAGATAGTAAAATTCTGTTCAAAGTAATTGAAACCAGAATTTTAGAGCACAGGCCCAACCTCCAGGAGTTCCATGTCAGGACCCTTAAATGTCAAATAAGGAGACATGGTTAGGGTAAAGAAAGGGGATTTATTACTCGCAGAAGCCTGATGTGGTGACAGCACTTCAGTCCATCTTCAGCATCTTGGGGTAGGAATATTTGCCTGAGTTTCAGTAGGGCAAACTGGAGACAGGAGGGCCAGGGGCAGGAGGTATCCATAGTTAGAAAGCAGTTCCAAGTCACAGGCATGTTCAGAGGTGGCAGAGGTGGCCACTGGTGTGAAGTCAGAAGTGGTCTTACATTCTATCTCAGAACCAATCAGGTGTGGTCTTGTTCTGTTACGAGTCAGTGACACCTGGCAGATGGTCCAATCTCCCTCCGGCCTGCTCTTTCCTGGCTTCTACCATGGCTATGGAGTGACTGCAGGGGGAAATGACTCTGAGCAAAAGACATAGAAACAAAATGCAGAGTCTGGGAAGCCCAGATTCAATGTCTCACAGCAGAAAGCAGCTTTCTTTTAAGCACCTTTTATAGAATGACAATACTAAAATTTGAAAGCATGCAAAACTGCCTACTAGCTGAAGAAGGGCAAGGTACTATATATTAAAATATTTTAAATATTCAGATGTTGTAATATGGTATATTCATTTGAAGACTCTAGCTTAAATTAATTATTTAAGATACAATGCAGTAACATTCATTATGTTTTAAAGGCAACTGACTTAAAAATGACTCAAAGTAAAAACTAGTAAATTTCTAATAATGGAGGAATAATTGAATGTATTACTTCACTGTACTAATATACTGTAGTATAAATAGCTGTAAAACCTTTTACAAAAAAATAAATGTTTAAGGAAATACCTTGCCAATAGCTTGTTTTAAAAATATTTACAAAACAAATTTTAGTGACATAAAAATTACTCATACTATATTGGTAAATGAAAGCACAGGATACAAACTTAAATCACATAGTTGATTCAATATATGTATTAAAAACAGAGATGACAAAAGAAAGATGTGAAAGAACTACCCAAAATGTTAACAATGGTGCATCTTACTTCTGGTGAAGTTAAACAGCAAATATTAGGAGATCTACTACCCACTGAAAACACATTTTGTTTCAATGATTAAAATAGCAATTTTGGAAAACTGGGAAATAACTAAAGGCATCCAACTATCCAAGAAGTATCTACTGGGTCAAATTATTATGCTATCAAGTAAGAATGGCAAGTTTGGCTTTCTTGCTTAGAAACATTTCTTCTTCACAAACAACAACAAAAAACCTACAGCCTTAACATCCGGCGGTGGGTCAAAGGCAGCGGCAGAACAACCAGCCATTTAAGGGATTTTGGAAGTAAGAAAGCCAGATGAGATTAACATTGTAAACTCTCTACACACTCAGTATGGACTAAATTACAAGTGTAGAAAATCTATGAGAAACCAGTGAAAAACCAAAAGCCTAGCAACTTTCTATTTGGTCCATATTGAATGTGTGTATGTTTTTTAAAAATTTATTGTAAAGGTGATGAACAGGAGAGTTACAGTTACATAAGTAAGGTAGTGAGTACATTATTTTTTCTCCACACTTCCTGGCCTCCTTGCAAAGCCTTACTGCCTTGAAGCATTTGACCACGTCACGCCCAAATCATTTCCTGAGCACCGAAGTGTTCAGGGTACAGAGAAGACTCCCTAAGAGGTAGTCTTAAAACAGACAGTATCAAGCAACACAGAAACTAAGTTGACTCAGCAACAGCCACCACAGCAGAGCAAATCAATTTCAGTTTGAGGCTAGAAAAGATAAATATCTACTATAACAAAAAATACTAAAACTACCTAACAGAGAACATATAATCTACTCATAACAATACAGTTCTATTCTCAACCAAAAATTAATAAGTATTAAGGGGGGAAAGAAGGAAATATGAATCCATATCCCAGAA